GCTTTCGCGATTTTCCCGTTTCACGTGCGCTATAAAAATGTACACTCGGTATCCCTGAGATGTGGCAGGCGTGGTTGCGCACTTCAACTGAACGTGGCGCTGACTGTGCTTCTGGTGACAAACTTCCATGTCCCTGAGCAGGGGGGCTCAACTTTTTGTTTTGGGGAAAAAGGGAGAACATTCGAAAAGCTGGGGAAAAAAGGTTGTAAGTTAGCAAAAATCAGAAAGATGGTAGGAATGATGAGGATGAGGAAAGGGATTGTTTTAGGTGGTGAAACCTTGGGGGTCGCACTGCCACGGTCAGTACACACATCGCGGTCGAGGGATGTCGTACGTCGGGGATCCCAGCGAGAGGGGATGGGTATTTGACTGCTGGAAGGGGGGGGGTTGTCTTCACCTCTGAGAAATATACCTTTAGATTATCTCGATTTTTCCTTTCATGTGCGCTATATGGCTCACTCCTCCTCTTCCCCCCCCCCTCCCGCACCACAGTTCTTTAAGGAGAAGCTGGAGAATCTTCGCAAAAAGGAAACACTGGAAAAGTAGAAAGTGAGTAGGAAGAATTAAGATGATGGTAGGTAGCTGAGATTTCTATTTTTCAGTCTTTTACGTAGTTTAAGAAGTTAATCCTGGCTAGAATGAGAAGTCTTCACACTGCAAGATTCTTGCTGAGGTCAGAAAAAGCTCAAAATAGAATCAAGCCGAGAAAGCAGGAGAGCATGACGAAATCGAAGAAATAAACACAAGAAAATAACAAAAATACGAAAAAACGAATACGAAAAATGACATTAACAAAAAAATACACTTCCAAAATGGTTGAAGAGCGAGCAGTAAAGAAAACTGTTCTGTAGGATGTCTCTTCCCCAAATTTAACGTCCTTAGATTTTTGATAGCCCAATTATTCCATCCGGACGGTCTTTTAAGATATTGAGGGCTTTTGCCATATTACATCTGCATATTTCCCATTAAACGGCAATAATGCCACGAAAAGCAAAGAATCCCCCATAGAGACCTTGAAGACCCCGAGAACTCGAGCTGCTTAGTAGGGTGGGGGCGAAGAAAAACTGGCGCAGTTTGGCTTGGTGGGAGCATATTATTGGTTCCCATCGACCACTGCCGATGTAGACCCTGTGAACTCGTGTGAATCCACAGTTCTCACCAAGGTGAGACGTGTAATTTACCAGGATCTGGCAAAATGCAGGTGAGCGTGCTAAATGCCCCTCCCCCTCCCTCAAACCGAACCGCCCCGAGAACCCCCCTCCCTCGAAGCCGAACCGCGCCAAGAAACTACATGCAGATTTATCAGTGTACAGGTTAAACGTCGGAAATGAATGAATGCCGTGAATGAAGTTCTCCCAGCACAGTCCTCGTTGGTCGCGTGGGCGGAATCAGTCCCACTATTGTGGATTAGTCATTGGTGCCCAAAACAATATTGCGTGAGACGACGACAATGAGGTTGGAACAAAGGTGGGCATGACCCTGCAACAGCACCGGCGTGGTGTAGTCCTTCAAAGGCACATTCCGTGATTACGATATTCGGGCCATGGCGTTCGAACTGTTGGTACTAGCTGGCTTAGTAGTGAGGAAAAACAGGGAAAAAATTAGCCTTAATGAGACCCTCCTACAGTTGACCATGACCACCAGACGATTCAGGGCACGTCTGCCACTAAGAACAATTTTCGAGGAGCCCATCACCCCCTTCTGACGACGAGCAAATACCACTCTTCCAAGCCACCCCCCCTCCATCGAAATTCTCCTAACGATGTAGACATCGAGCGTAAACCGGCGAAGTCAACTGCGCCCCCTTCCCGCAGCGACCTCCGACAGTCAGCGCCCCCTCCCCGCACCGACCAAATCCGACCACACCTGGGGATTTCCCAACGTACCCTGGGACAACTGCAAGATGATCAAGATCAACTGGAAGAAGTGGGAAGGTGCAAAAAGTGGGGGAGGGCGCGTAAGATAGCCAGAAAACGGACAAGAGAGCACAATGGATTACCATGCAACTTGGGCAGGGCCTCAGCCTTTGGGCTTGGCCCAGAAGCTTGTGGTTAGCTTTTTGCAAACTTTCAAGCTGTGGGAAGGTCTCGTTTTTCGTGGTGCCTTACCCAGGTCACCTACTTATGGAGGTATTCGGGCACCTTGTAATCGCGAAATGTGCCTTCAAGAGAGATTTCAAACTGCTTACCTTAGATGCGGATGTAATGGTAATCTGATGGTACGAGTTCCAGTTTCGCTGAGTGGAAGTTTTGCAATGCAACACCCACGCCTCCCCCTATCCCCCCCCCTTCAGACTATCGAACCAGTAACCAACTGTTCATTGCCTCCTTTGAACCATCCTAGAAGGCTACTGAGTAGTCAGCACCTTAGAAATGATCGGGTAGAAAAGGAGATCTTCAAGTGCACTAGGGAGGGGAATCTCTGTGTTCTAGCGACGACTGTGTCAGAGCCACTGTTCAGAGATTTATTGAAATGAAATTCTACAAACTTCAACAAACGAAAAACAATGCATAGACCGAAGACATGCTAAAACTGACTAGATCTAAATTGAGCCGATAAAAAAGTAAATAGCCGATTCAAAACAAATCTGAACCTCGCTTACCTCCAATGCTCGCTAAGTTCCGGGAACATGTGCTTTATTTGAGTCGACGTCAGTTCTGGATTTGAAATGGAAAAACGAGGGCTGCCACCATCCGCGTTACCGTTTTCTGAATATTCAATTCTTCATTTAATTATTTCAATTTCAACTTACAAACGTGCTCCATAAATAGAACTAATAGGGATAGATAGAAAAACTACTACAAACCGCAATAAGTTTCGAACGGCTTTTTCTGTATTGGACTACACAAAGCAGCAGTTGCGTACTGGTAGTAATTAGTGCCGCTTACGATGCCCACGGTCCGATCAGGAAAACGTTTCTATTTCCCATGGAAGCCCAAGTAGGCCCCGTGGTATATGATGAGAAATGGAAGGGTGTACGGAAATGGAATCTAAAATTGCCCCAATCGTCTTCTAAGGCAGCGTTCAGACTTCGCGACGGCAGCGCTTCGGTGGCCAGGGTACAGCATCGTTGTGTACACATGGGGGGGGGGTCGCACTTGGCCGCTCGGGAGGGAGGTCATATGTGCCTCTGAGAGAAATTTGCCGCGTTAGGGAAAATTTTTGCCCGGTTGTTGTCTTTTCGCGGTCCCGCACGACAGAGGATTTTTGGGTGAAAAACTGGTAAACTTGTAGGAAAGTTATGGCTAGGTGTTCTGGAAGAGGGGGTCGTACCGAAACCCTTCCTCGAGGGGGAGGGGGTCGTACTGACACCACCATTCCACACATCACGATCCTGTACCCTGTCGGTGGCGCGATTCGGCGATCGATGCGCATGCTTTCCATTGCATCGATCGCGTCGAACGCGCGACCGAAGCGTGCAGTCGCGAAGTCTGAACGCCGCCGAAGAGAAGTATGAGTGGTCAAAGGTGGCAATGGTGCAATAAAAACTTATGGCACCTACAGTACTGTTATTTGACCACTAAATGGAAACTGAGTAGCGCCCCGCTGAACCCACCCCCTCACTGACACGTTCTAGAAAAGCGAACAAGGCTGTATACCGCACATAGGAAGCTAAAGCCGGGAAAACTTGCTCGGGGTTGAAGAAACTTGCGATATAGTTGGCTGAGATGAGAAATGGTAAGCATCCTAGTGGCGAAATTACATCTGAGGGAAGAGTCGCTATGATATCAAAAGAGAAACCTAATCCGAAAGAGAATACACAGTCTCTTCGCTGTCTGCCCATACGATGCTTGAAGCTAATAGAGATCTTAATTGAAGCGTTTTCTACGGTTTCAAATATCTTTAAGCTAACAAGCACATGCCTTTCCCTTCTGAGCAACAATCTACCGTGAAAAGTGATGTTGTGTGCGTGAATTGGCTCATTTATTCTGGGAAACGTACGAAACCCGTACTGTTTCCCGTGTCAGAATACATCGAAAAAAAATAACGGAGACGGTTGGAATTTGGCCTCCTGGGGCGAAATCGTTGCTTTTTCCGTGTTAGGCGCTCATCGTGGGCAGGATCTCAGCATTGGGGGGGGGGGAGGGGGAGAGGGGATGGGGTATTCATCCAATATTGTCCTTTGATCCCCGTATATGTACATTCGAGCAATCAGTTGTCTCGGTGGCATGGTGAGTTGTGACTCAGGCTCTCTATGCAAATCAGAATCAATTAAAATTTCGAATGACTCCGTAGGGAAGCCTGTGGAATGCTTGCTGGGTTCGGGTAGCATTAAGCCCTTCTAAAGGAGATGCACAGCAGGGTTGAGTCTCAGAGCTGCCTCATACTGGGATGGCGGAGCCCCTTGTCGAATTCATCATCCCTGCAGACGACAGGATGCGTGGCAGGGCCTAGAGAGGAGCCCAGTCAGGGCGACTTTATCCATCAAGAGTTGTGAGCTCAAGACGACATAATTCGGTCGAAAAGGCTGGTCAGACTGTGACCATTGGAAGCCTGGTCACACGCCTTAGGACTTCAAGGATCACGGCTGAAAATGCTACCAAGCATGGATTCAGGCGACTCAGTAGACCAAAATGTAACCAAAAAGTAGCTGATTTAATCTTCAACGTGCGGAAAACTTGTATGAATTAGCAAAGAGACGCAGAAAAAGTGGGTTGAGCCCCTAGAAAGTTGGTAGTGATATTAGGCGGACTTTACAAAGCACATGAGGCCCATTGACCCAGCGCACACCATCACTGTGCGAAATGGTGGGGGAGGGGGTATTCCGCCTTATGGAATTTTTCCAATTGCCAATTTTTCCTGTTTCTGGAGTACTGTTCATACAGCTCTTGTGGATGACGAGGCAAGAATACCATTATCCCTGAATAATCGGGAGTTTCTGCGCTCAATCCGCAACACGACAATATTCTGGAAAGCTGGAAAGATATGGTGGGATAATAGGAGATTTCGAGCCCTTGAAAATATTGTTTTTACGCCGTATATTGTATTTTTCAGAGCTCCTAGCGCCTCTTTGTTGCAACCGAGTCTTCGTTCATTGCTTGGCTAAACTGAGAAAAAGACCAACTAAACTGCTCTAGCATACCATGTGGGTTTTCCTCGGAACTTGACGACTCCATGGATTGTTCACTAAGCGATGAGCAGTCAGACCGATCTAAAGAATCAGCTTTTCAACAAACATACAAATTTGAAA